ATATATATATATATATATATATATATATATATATATATATATCATCAAAGAAATATATATATATATATATATATAATCGTTTAAATTGCTAAAATGAATTAGCATAGTTACATATGTTTAAAAAATGTTTCTACAAAATTTGACATTAGTATTGCAGCTGTTTTCCCATACCTTGTGTATTTGGGAAAATCCAAGTCTCTTCATTGCCAACACAAAAGCTTTCAAATTTTGAAAGCGACTGGACACTTCCGAAATTTTCAGCATACCCCTAAACAAATTATAAGAAAACTTTGTACTTTGTCTTAGTGTTGAGAAGCAGTAATATCACAAAAACAATTAAGAAATAATGTTTTGTACTTAATTAGAAGGTATTAATTAAAATAACTGGGATGTGACAGAGGGTTTGCCATTGTTTCCCTGGGCAACACCAGTAAAGTTCCAAGGGTGTGTCAAGTGGGTTGTCATTGTTTTCTTGGGGGTCCTGTTTTGCTGATCAAACCTGGTGTCCAAATGTCTCTACTTGAGTCACTACTTAGGGCTGGCAAGACCAATAGAATACCAGGGATGTGTCAGGTGATTTGGCATTGCTGATTTAAGGGGTTCTCTTGTGTATTATTACAGTACAAGAATACATTTAAATCAAATCAATGAGTGATCATACTTGTTTTTTAGAACTCTGTTAGCTTCCTTTAGGTAATCAATCCAATTGGTCCCCATCAACGACAGACAGAAGATAGCTACATCCAGCTCACCATCAGATAATGGAACCTAAAAAAACAAAAACAAACCCAACAGTATGGTTAGGGCAGAACAGATGCCCAAGACTCTTCACTTCCAATCGACAGGTCAAGTTTCAAGCCAGAGGCTGGTTACTTGTTTGTTTCCCTTAGGTAAGGCATTTGCATTGCTTCCCTACACCCAGAAGATAAATGGGTACCTGGTTGGGTTTTGATACTGAGATGAATACAGCTGCAACTATAAAACTAAGTGTCCTAAGCATGTGGACCAAATTACCAGGACTAATAATAATAATCTGCTCATTAGAAAATGTAAACTTATTGGTCATTATTTTGCAAGTAATCATATTACAAACAATTACAGTTATTATATTGTGCTATACTTTATCTTATTACACTTACATTTGCCATATTGCAAGCAACAACATTTTTATTAGTTGCAACCAGGTCAAATGAATGAACTTTTTGTTTGACACTCTTAGAAATCTTTGCATCTCCACATCCAAAATCACCTACAACTTTTGAGGACGGCCTGAAAGAAACAAAAAACAAAATGCTACTTCATTTCTCAAGCCATTAGATTCATAAAAGTTCACGTTACACTGAGCATGAAAGCTGGCTGCCCCTCCCCTCCACCCCATCTTGAATCCACCTACATTGGCAAGTCCTGCATTGTTCCATTTATGGATAAATAAATAAATAATTGTTATCCAGGGATATTGTTGCAGGGGGCAGGCATAAATATGCTTTTAAAAAGTTGAATATTTTCCTGAAATTTTCATTTTTCACAATAGCAGGTAGCAAGCAAAAATGAATATATTTATTTGAAATAGTTATAAATATTTTTAATTCAGCCTCAACCATAATGGACCTCCATCTGTAAAAGTACCTCCCTGGGTGCCCCCCCCCCCCTTCTCCACTACAATGAATTCCAGGATCCACTATTGGCATCCAACCTCAGTCTTGGACCCTCAACTTCTTAATTACTACAATTTAGAGAAAAGAAAATAACGATGATACTCACATCTTCAGAAGGTCTGCAATGATTGTATCAACAGGGTTAACTGGCCATGTTTTCACCTGCTCGACAAACCCATCATGGTACACCTGGAAAGCCTCCCTGTCTTCTGTAAACAATTCCAATGCCGAATCACCAGTGCAGGTGTAAAGTTTCTCATTAATGAACCTGAATCTTGCACCTTTCAACTTATTCTCCATCTTCGTTCTGAGATCAATTGGTTTCTTTTTCTTTGACTCTGTTTCTTTGGATATCTCCTCATCACTTCTATTTGATTTTTCTTCATCTTTTTCAAGCTCTTCCTTCTGTGCTCTTTTTCTCTGTTTCTTGCTAGGATTACCTTTTTGGGAAACATTCTGTTGTTCTGTTTCATTTTTGTTTTCTTCTTTTTTATGTTTCTTGCCTTTTTTACCTTTTTGGGAAACATTCTGTTGTTGTTTATCATTTATGTTTGGTTGACTGTTTGAGTTTGTTTCTTTCATTGGAATGATCTTAATGTCTTTCTTGTTTATTTTTGGAGGTGGTGCTGTGAGGTCAACAAACTTTCCGCACAAATTTTTCCTGTTTAAAAATTCTTCTGTTTTGAATTTGTTTACAGCCTTCCTTTTCCGCTTTTTCTTTGTCTTCGTTTTTAAATTATCTTGTAGATCAGATCCATTAGCTTCAGTTTCCGAAGGTTTCATCTCATCTTTAACTTTCAATTTTCCTTTCTTTTTCTTGCCTTTTTTAGATTCAACAGCAAAATCTTTGTTTTCTTCATCACCTTGCTTAACCTTCCCTTTTACTGTAGTCTTGCTATTTAATGTTTTTTTCTTCTTCTTTAATATATTTGGCTCCAATTGGGAATCGTCTACCATCTTTCTCTTCTTTCCTTTATGTTTCACATTTGTTTTTTCTACTTTCGTGGAAATTTCAGATTCATCCTGCCCTTTGTGTTTCTGTTTCTTTTTAGTACCTTCTTTCCGTATCAATTTTTCTACAATTTTTTCATCCTTGTCACTTTTTTCATCAGTCTTCAGTCTTTTCTTCTTCCTAATGTTCTTTTTCAAGCGTTTTCCTTGTTCACTACCATTAGTGTTTATAACATGGGAAACCTATAACAAAGTAAAAACTCATCTTCTACTTTCATTAACATAGTACATAAAAAATATAAAAAAATGAATCAATTTCTGAGTTAATTAGCATTAACTAAATACAGGTAATAATTAGGGTTTATCATAAAAAATAATTAGTGTGGGTCATTTTTATATCATTGTTTGCACAGGGAAATGCCAGGGTCCCAAGTTCGATGCTGTCATTTCCAGGAGCTTTGTTTAAACAGCCTTTCTTAGCACCTCTAATTTTTTAATTTGCTGCTTACGGTGATACAAAAGATCTTATAATAACAAGATAGTGCTCTCTGCGATTCTACGCACAACAAATAGAAACGTTGATGTTCAGCAAAAAGCAATATAAAGTACAGTAATTGTAATTAAGCGAAGGCGTCCTAGTTGTAACCATGGATGTAGTCCAGAATTTGCACGTACAGTAGATCATAGATGTCAAAGTTCAAAAGTAATTGTAAGTAGGTGCCCTACACTGTGTTATTACAGAATCTGCATGCAAAAATCGCGGAGAACGCTATCTCGTTATTATAATAGCTTTGGGTGATACCAATCAACACTGACTTCTGTGAGACAAATGATAATAAAGGGGTAAAAAACATGCAGATTTATTGAATTTTCGTAAGATGGGTTATTTTCCGGGAGATTCCAGTCAGGTTGCAGGGAATTCATCTTAATTTTTGGGAGACTCCTGCATCATGTAGGAGACTTGGGACCCTCGAGATGCTCAGGAGTTGTCAAATTTCAAAGAATGATATCACATCATGACCATATATAGGCACATCATGACTATATATGGGCATACAACAGTTGTTTGTCAAATAAAATTTGATGGTCTGGACAGATCTTTTACTCCTCAGTCATTTAAACAACTGATAATCTCACCTCATCAAACAACACAGAGTGTAAATCATTGAACGATTCATTGTCACCCCAGTCAGTAGATTCATTTACCTCAAAATCAACAGCCATTTGAATCTGAAAACAATGACAAGAAATTATTCAGTGATGTGATATGAACATGTGTCGCATGCTCATTAAAAACTTTAAAATGAATGAAAAAAGTCACATTGCAAATTAAAAATAATGTAATTTTAATAAGACATTAAGTCGGGAAATTTTAAGTTTACAATTGGTAAACGTGTCAGTCTCTGCATGAAAACAGCAGAATCAGTGGTGGATCCAGGAGTTTGAAATAGAGGGGAAAATGGGGGGAAGGGACTTTCACAGAAAATTTATGATTATGGCAACTCTATGGCCGGAAATGGCACTCCCTCAGACCTAAACTAAATTTAATATTTTATATATATATATATATATATATATATATATATATATATATCGCCGTGGCTAGAGATACGCTACCGTATCGGAACTTCTGATTGCTAAAGGTATGGTAAATGATATAACGTCATGAGCAACCATAAATGTGGTCGATCATTTTTTTTTTGTACAAGGTTTATGTCGAAAGTCAATTTACCTTCGCGAAAATGGTATCGCCCAGGCTATTCTTTTGCATTAACGATTTTGCAATGTCTGGCTGCTTTTGCTTTTGCAAAGCGTGGCTGACCTCGCCTCGCTGTCGGTCTGCAGCAGGATGCAGGATGCTTCAAAAACTCATGGTTCCTTCCACGGGCGCTGCCATATTGTTTTGACTGATGAATTATTTGGAATATTACTTATTGTTATTTTCAAGTACATCAGAATTTTTAGTTTATAAATTAAAAGAAATATTTATTCAACATTTCTAATTTTATCCTTTATCAAATCTTGCATAATTAAAAAAATGTATGTTATATATTCTCTTTCTTTAGAAAACATGTTTCTAGGTTATACAGGTAGGTAACATTTTCTGACCTTATATGGAAGGCTAAGGTTGACCCTGAGCGAGGGAGAGGCAACCGCGGAAAACTAAGAGGAGAGTTTGTGAGTATATTTCCAACGGTTTATTTATATTTAGACTGTGTCAATAAAATAATAACATACAGTAGTTACTATTGACGTTATGCGATATTCATTAGAGATATATGAACTTCCTCCCAATAGATATGTTTATTTTAGACAGTCATAAGTATTTGTATTCGGGAGCCGGATTGTTGTGTGAGGAGGACGCACCTCCAGTTAATCCGTGCATGTCATTGACCCAGTTACCTCAATAGTAAACTATCCGATCACACTGTTGTATGGAAAATTGAGCCAGCCTAGGCTCTAGGCATATTTGCCTTTCCGGATGAATTTAAAACGTTCTTCCTTCCTCTATAATGTTAATGGGTCCTGTATGTCTGGGCTGAGAATAATATAATACGTTTCCTATTGAAATTAAGCCTCAGTAGGCCATAGGACCTACTCTTTTGGTTGGGCAGTATTTTTGACATTCTTGTCATTATTATCATTTGTGTGTCATTATCATTTGTGTAGGTAGGGTTGAATAATTTATTAATTAAAACTTACTAGGCCTAAAATACACAGGCTTCATGTTATAATTCAATGTTTTTGTTTCCTTTATTCATTTAAGCGTGTGGTCTTATAACAGCGATGGAGGATATTTTTTCTCAAGTGCGGGAGGGTAATGCTGTTTACGTAAAAATATGGCTCAATAATGTTGAGAACGATCCAAACCAAGGGTGAGAGTTCAGAATTTCAGTTGTTTACTATACGTGTTTTGTTTTGTTTTTGTTTTTTTGGTCAGGTTTTGGAATACCGTCGTATTTATTCGAATAAAGGCCCCCACTTTGAATAAACACTGCATTTAGAATAAATTCCCTTCTCGAATAAACCACTATCTAGAGCCTCATCTAAAGTAAACGCTTCCCTTAAAAATGCCCCAAGGCATATATTTTCTCCTCGAATAAATTCTTCCTAAATGACTGTAAATCTACAGTAATGGAAGCAACATCATCATTCTACTCACAGTAGAATTACATATTTTTTTACCTGGCTGGGATCAATCTTTATAATCGCACAAAAACACATTTTGAAGGTAATTATTGTTTTGTAGCTCCAAATTTACAGTGAAATGTACGGGCGATTATTTGAGTATATATATACTTATCCACTTTTACACAGAAAAAAAAAATGCCTCTCATGAATAGATGCCTCCCTTGAATAAACCCCCTCAAAGACCATCTCAACAATAAATACTCCAGGGCGAATAATACGGTATTTTAATTAAATTTTATAAACAGATCAGTCCTTTCATATTTGTTTACATACTGTATAGGTTTAGATACAGTAGATTGGCTGTCATACAGTTTAAAGTTAGTGTTAGGTATGGAAAACAGTAATATGTTTTTAAGACATATTAAGTACTTTTTCTGTTTATATTTTTATGTGTACCGTATTTGTATGTAGCGTGTCTGGAAAACAGTAATAGGTTTTCCAGACATAGTAAATATTATTGCAATGAAGTACATTTCATGTTTTTTTATGTGTACCATATTTGTATATTATTCTCATTAAATCTTCTTAAATACTGTATTATTATTGTTGTATTTATTTAACACTTTAAAATATATACCTGGAAAATGTTTCATATTGTTAATACAGTATGATGGATAAATAAATAGAACAACAACTGAACATTTGGACTTTGGCTCAAATAGTTTTATGGAATATCACATTTATTTTACCATAACATTTTTATCTTACCTTCTGGGGGCTTACAATTAGGGTAAACATCGTATATTTTAGTTTACATCTGTTTTCTTTCTTTTTAGTGATGATCACAGATTTAGCCCCCTGCACTGGGCTTGCAAGGAGGGGCGGTCAAGTATCGTTGATATGCTACTTACTAGGGGGGCCAAAATCAACTCCACTAATATGGGAGATGACACTTCTTTGCATTTAGCTGCAGCTCATGGACATGGTGACATTGTCATGAAGGTAATTGAACAATCAATCAGTCAGTCATTATCTTGACTATATTAAGGCCCTATAAAAAATATTAGTTTATCGCCCTATCTGGGAAGGAAAAGTGATGAGGGAGGGAGGTTTTTTTTTTTTATTTTTTTTATTTTGCTAAAGCCAAATATCACCCTTGGGTTGTTTGCTGGTGCATTGATATTCAAATTAAAACATGATTTAGATAAAGCAAACAATATCTACTAACTATTTAATAAAATAAATGAAAAAAATTAATAAATAAAATAATTTAAAAAAAAAAATTCCAAACAAAACTTCTTTAAAAAAAAAAAAAATTTTTTCAACACTTTTTTTTTTTCAGTACCATAAAAGACATGCGCGCGAGGGTGATAAACTAATAATTTTTTTTATTGGGCCTAACCAATGGCTATGTCTTAAAGCTCAGTGATCTTGTTTTTTTTTTCGTTTATATTATACTGTATCTTTTTATTACTGCATTCTATTGAAAGTTAAGTATTTGCACTTTTGATACATATTTTGATTCAAAAACAAGGTCAGCAGGTATAATCAATCGACCTGCCATTGAATGAACGAAAATTGTAGGAGGTGATAGAAATCCTATTGTCTATTAAAGTGTTCTGTTCATTTGCTTGTATTTACATATAAAAATTGTAACCATTTTTACATGACTAATATCATAATAGCAAGAACTAAACAATTTTTTATTTACATTGTGTAGTGGTGGGAAGACATATAAGTTGTTGTAAATTTTTATACCTTGTTTTTCGAACCCCTACCGACCCATGCTGGTGATTTTATTTAAAGAAATATTTCTCAACCTATTTTTTATTCACCTGCTGCTGCAAAAATAAGATTTTTTTTTACATTTTTTATTATTTTGCTTTTATAGTGTATTATTATATTATGCTTAATGTTGCCCTAAAGTCAGGCTCCAGAGGAAAAAAAATTTTTGATATGTTGTAGAACTGATTTTTCTAAGACAGAAAAAAGTTGTTTGACGAAAAACTGGGGAACGGTGAATGAGATACAGATTTTTTAATATTTAAAAACTGGGGGAAAAAGGGGTGTCAAACAACTTTTTTCTGTCTTAGAAAAATCAGTTCTACAACATATCAACAATTTTTTTTCCACCGG